GGCCCTCTGGGTAAGGGATTCCCTGTAAAACTAACAGGGGACAAAACACACATTATTCCCCTAAGCACACGGGGCCGTCCCTCATAGGACACCCCTCTGGGCCGTTTTTCTTTCTTTTCCTCCCCGTTTCGGACGGTAAGGCGCCCGAGGAAGCTGGCAGCCGGCATCGCGGCGAAGATGAAGCCCACCGTCACGGTGCTGGCGCCGCAGCTTTCCCGCGCGTAGACCTGGACGCGGGGGAGGGTCGTCTTTCTTCTGCGGGAAGCCCCAAATTCGGTCTTCCTTTTGGTGCTCTTTCTTAAAAAGAAACAAACAAACAAAGGCTTCCCTAAAAGAGTTTTTTTTTGCGGCGTGTGTGTCCTTCTTGTCTTTTTTTTGGGGGGCAACCCCGCATTGGGTGTTCCTTTTGGTTTTATTGCTAAAAACAACACAACAAAGAGTACCTTGTTTGTTGTTGTATGTTTCTTGCGTGGGATGGCCTTTTTTTAGTGGCGTTCCTTGTTCCTTTTGGCTGTCTTGTAAACAACAAAACCACAAAGAAAGGGTACCCTGTAAAAAAGACAGACGTGAGCCAATGCGATGGTTGACCGACTCGTAATTGTTTGATGGAGTCATGAATCCACACGGGTTAGGGTTGGTTTTGATTGACTTGGACCCAGGGTTTTGATTGGACCCAAGGCTTGCCCTTAGTGGCGCCAAGGATGCGCCAAGGATATTTTGCTCTGGGCGCGTTCGTTCGGAACGGGGTGAGCTGATTCTTCCGCAAGTCTCAAGGAGAAAGCCTGGACCAAGAGCTTCCCCTGGGGATTCAAACCATCAAAACAATGGGGATTAAACCCTGGGGCTTGGATGGTTGACGAAACTTTCAGACCCCCTGTTTCATAAAACACATTTGGGGGGGGGGGGGGGGTAGCGTTGGAGGAAACACACCCCATGTTTTATCTTCTTTTGTTTTGGGGGGGGGCCGAGGGGGGAGGGTAGCTTTGGAGGAAACACCCGCAATCAATCTGCCAGGTGTGACTCTGTGTGACTCGACTGGGCTCTCCACATTGATCCCAGCTAAACATCGACTTTAGTGGGCAAACGGAAACCACTAATCCAACCCCCAAAAGTCTAAAAACCTAAAAGATGGCTGGGACTGGGAACCAAGTCACATCCCAAATGAATAGTTGAAGCCATTCAGCTAGGCTCGAACTTGATTCCGTCACATGAGTCCCCAACCTGCTTGATCCGAGCGCCAAAAAATCCATCGACTTTTGATGCGAACATGGGGCAGTTTCATCTGCCGGCGGCGAGCGGAACCGCCTAAGTCTTACGAGCATAGGCGGCCTTTTGGAAAAATAAGTGGCCCTGGTAAATTCAAGAACCCCCATCTAACCTATACCAGTGGAACCCAGCTATTTTAACCAAACTAATCTATACAGAACACCTATGCCGAGTGGACTTCTGATGTTTCACCGAATTCTGTCCGGATTGCTCCAAACCCACCCCCAAATTGGCCCCCGGGTCTGAGACGTTTCGGGCACGTTTCCGGCCTCAAAGAAGGGACTCATCTGGTAGATCCTGACTCGATCGAATCGATCGAATCGTTCTTGGCTCGAAGGAAAAACGAAGGACACCGCACCCAAAATTTTAGTAGGGGAACCCTCCCCCAAAAAAGAAACGGTAAAAGGGCACTACTGGGGGCCTAGATGAAGGAAACCCCAAAAAAACAGGAGGACACCCAGGGAAAACAAAGGGGTTGAAGTTAACTTCGGATAAACCGCAGGCCGTACCAAGGGGTGTCTCCCCTGAAACCGACATGAATTATGTGGTGGTTCCTCTGACAACGGTCCTCATGAAAATCCCAAGTCCAGAGTAGAAACAGACTAAAACATGGCCATGAGTCAAAATCCCGTACCCCCAGTGAACATCCCAATCCCCACTGAAATAGGTTCCAAAATGGGTGGTGCACCTACCAACCAAAATGGGATCCCATTGGTTTTGACAACCACAGCCACATCGCCTTTGGGTGCCATGACTAAACATTGGCCAAGGGGACTACAAAGATCCAAGATCGATTCGCTTGAAGAACAACTTGCTGGTGCGATAGGTAGGGAATCTGGGATTGAACCCAGGGATTTGTAGGAAACCATCTGGTTTGCTTCGGGGTCAGACTCCATTTCTCATTCCCTGCCGGACTCTCGCACGCAAGAAAAAGGATTCGTGTCAGTTGACTGAACATTGGCCAAGGGAAACTACTAAGGTGAGATCAAAGGTCCATTCGATTGAAAGAAACAAATGTCAAATGCTTGTGGGTCAGAAATATGTGCCCAAAATGGAACCCTGGTAAGTGGAAACGTGGACTAAAACCCGCGGTCCATATCCTGGTGGTAGAAAAAAATGACCCACACCCAGGGTCTTTTCGGCCACGGAGCATGGCCATTGACAAGAAGTAGGCGCCCAGGCAGGTCACCAGGATGATGCCGCGCCCATCGGAGCACAGGCCGGCCATCGCCATCGGAGATGTGACGCGACGACGTTGTTTCTCGTCGGAGCCCCGTCTGAACTGCAGGTCTTGCGGGTGTGGAGTCGAGCTTTGTGCGCGAAAACGGGAGTGGCACCCGGGTTTAGGCTTGTTAGTTGCCTAGGTCCTCCAGATTTGAGAGGTTAGAATAAGTTGGTACCAACTTTTTGCAGGAGGTCTATTTGAGTAGGGGAATCCTCCCCAAAAAAAGAAACGGTAAAAGTTGGCCCCTAGCTGGGGGACCTAGTTGCGGTTTTGGTCGAGGGGCCCGGGGTGGTCGAACTGTTTTCGGCGCCTGGCCACGTGAAAAGCCCCGCAAAGGGACAAGAAAAATGAGGCGACCCACTGCAGGCCAGGCGCGTTCCGAGGGTTCCGAGGCAAAAACCACTTTCTTCCTAGAAGCCCTCCGGAGTGTTCCGCATTGGTGGGTCAGATGGCTCAGGCATGAAGCCCAGGAAGGCATCAACATGTCCAACCCACCAACTCACCAACCCATCAACATGTCCAACCCAACATGTCTCCCCACGGATCGAACCAACCCACGGATCGAACCAACCCTCCGAACCCCCCGCTACCTGCTCGCAACGCCACCGCCCGCAGCTGCCGGGAGCTGATCGGAGCGGCCGGGGACACGAAGGCCTGTGAATCAATCGCTCGGCGCGTTTGGGCCGTTTCTATGGCGTAAACCTCAGCTTCCCACTGTACTTGGTTGGAGTCAGGTGGCTGTGGCTCAAGAAGCCGGAATTCCAAAATGGGTTGCCCTGGTAAGCGGAACCATGGACCAAAACCCGCGGTTTGCCCCCCCTGTTTAATTTTGAGCCACAGCCAGGTGGTTTGGAGGGGTTCTCAATTACCCTCTGCAAAAGCCAGGGCTTCAAAATCCCCAAACCACCCATCCAAGCCACCAACTCAGGGAGAACCTGATAAGCAAGCATCTCGAGGATATCTTTTCCAGGGAAAAAAAAGCTGAATACCGGCAAACACTTGGGCTTTGTGCGATTTTGTCCTGAAAAAATGCTGAAGACGCTTGCTCGCGTCTTCAGCCAAGTTTGCTTGAACTCACCTTCGCCCCAAAGAAGCCGAGCCATATGCTGAGCTCTTGGAGCTTTCAAGTGTGACTTCCCAACGACACTCAGCTCTAGCTCTAGGCCATGGGGGCCTAGTAAGACTCGGTCGCGAACTCTGCTCCCCTGCAGAAGTGAATAGCTTTCAGTGGTTTCATTCGGAACACCCGAATTCGTTGGCAAAAAACATCGAGTAACATCCCTTAAGGCAAAATGCAAGGTCCACGTTGGAACCGGACAAGACGCTGATGGAACCAAGACCTGACTGCCGGCCGGCAAGGCCTCCAGGACTCAAGAGCTGAGTGAGGCAAAATGCAAAGAACCTGGAGCCCTGGCTTGTCGACTCCAAGGGCTTCCGTTTCCATCCGCTTTCTTTGGCTCAGCTTTGTCAACTCTTTGGGCGCAAGAACCCACTGACCGTGTTTAGCACAAGATGAACAGAACCAACAGCCACAAAACAAAAGACTTGCCAACAGCGAAGTATTGACTTGTCGACACCAAAGCACCCTGCCTGTTGCAGCGTGTAGAACACGCCAGCCGCCTCAGAATGAGTGGTCGGGGACAAATTGTTGGGGCCTTGGTTTCAAGGATTTCTCCATTTCTCTGTAAGTACTGTGAGATTTCGGCGACAAAGCAATTGCTTATATTGGGAATCGGATTGAATGATTGATGATCCAGCAAACAAACTAGCAAACACACAAACGAGCAAGCAAGCAAGCAAGCAAACAAACAAACAAGCAGCAAGCAAGCAAGCAAGCAAGCAAGCAAGCAAGCAAGCAAGCAAGCAAGCAAGCAAGCAAGCAAGCAAGCAAGCAAGCAAGCAAGCAAGCAAGCAAGCAAGCAAGCAAGCAAGCAAGCAAGCAAGCAAGCAAGCAAGCAAGCAAGCAAGCAAGCAAGCAAGCAAGCAAGCAAGCAAGCAAGCAAGCAAGCAAGCAAGCAAGCAAGCAAGCAAGCAAGCAAGCAAGCAAGCAAGCAAGCAAGCAAGCAAGCAAGCAAGCAAGCAAGCAAGCAAGCAAAGGAACAAACAAGCAAGCAAGCAAGCAAGCAAGCAAGCAAGCAAGCAAGCGAGCAAACAAACAAACAAACAAGCAAACAAGCAAACAATCAAGCAAAGGAACAAACAAGCAAGCAAGCAAGCAAGCAAGCAAGCAAGCAAGCAAGCAAGCGAGCAAACAAACAAACAAACAAGCAAACAAGCAAACAATCAAGCAAAGGAACAAACAAGCAAGCAAGCAAGCAAGCGAGGAAACAAACAAACCCCCAAACAAGCAAGCAAACAAACAATCAAGCAAAGGAACAAACAAGCAAGCAAGCAAGCGAGCAAACAAACAAACCCCCAAACAAGCAAACAAACAAACAATCAAGCAAAGGAACAAACAAGCAAGCAAGCAAGCAAGCGAGCAAAAAAACAAACCCCCAAACAAGCAAACAAACAAACAATCAAGCAAAGGAACAAACAAGCAAGCAAGCAAGCAAGCAAGCAAGCGAGCAACACAACAAACCCCCAAACAAGCAAACAAACAAACAAGCAAACAAACAAACAATCAAGCAAAGGAACAAACAAGCAAGCAAGCAAGCAAGCGAGCAAACAAACAAACCCCCAAACAAGCAAACAAACAAACAATCAAGCAAAGGAACAAACAAGCAAGCAAGCAAGCAAGCGAGCAAACAAACAAACCCCCAAACAAGCAAACAAACAAACAAGCAAACAAACAAACAAACAATCAAGCAAAGGAACAAACAAGCAACACACCCCCAAACAAGCAAACAAACAAACAAACAATCAAGCAAAGGAACAAACAAGCAAGCAAGCAAGCAAGCGAGCAAACAAACAAACCCCCAAACAAGCAAACAAACACAACAAACAAGCAAAGAACCAACCAACAAACCAAACAAACACAACAAACAAACAAACAAACACGACAAACAAACAACACACACACACCAGACATCGTCTACCCGTCGCAAACAGTTTGGACGTGAGCTCGGACCCAAAGGCCTCCTGCAGGCCGTTGGGCTACGAACACTTGTTGCAACCCTCGGTAGGAGAAAAACAAGTTCTCGCCGGTACTCGCCGGGGGACCTCTAAAACTTGCTGGTGCGTTCTCGGCAGGGAAAGATCATTGGAATGACCCCTGTAAACCAACCAACTGGTGGTTTCCTTTGAGGGAAGGTTCACTCAGTTGCCCAAAGGACCCAGGAATAAAAGGTTCACCTTTTGGGGCCATGACTAAAAATGGACCAAAACTGGAAAAACAAAAGGTTAAAAGGTCGGCTTTGGGCAACTGAGAGTTGCTTCTTCTGCACCAAGCATGAAGAGAATCAAAAAGCGACAAAGCTAAAAACCGGCCAACAACAGGGAAACTTGAAAAAGCAGCTTCGAATGATCTAGAACTGTCCGAAACCTTCAAACACCTGGAGGCCTTCGAGATTCCCAATGCTCAATCAATTCGAGCAGGGTATCTGTTCAAGGGAAGCCGCTCCAAATGAAGAGAACCAAATTCTGGAATCCCCGAGGGGGGTTTGGAAAGAGCTCCTTTCGGGTTTCTTAGGGTCCCCGAAATCACGAGCCTTCGGCCACCCGACCACCCTCCCTGCCCCCCCCCTCCCCCGCTTAGGGACTCGAAAAAAAGATTAGGGATGTCCTTCACCCTTCCTTTTGGGGAAAATGATGCCAATTTGTGAGTGTGTGTCAAAGGGATGCGGACCCCAAAAAGTATACAGGTTGTTCCTTTTGGTTCCCTTCCATAAGGAACCTCACCAGGGTACGTTTCACACACACACACACACTGTCACATACATCCATGATTAGAGTAAGGCCCAGTTATAGAATGTATATTTTGTTGTTTGCTTCGCTTTGAGTCACTGGTAAATGTAAAATGTATCCTAAGTCTACCCCCAGACTTAGCCTTGGCTTCCCGTAGAACTTCTGCTAGAACTTGCGATCGGTGTGTTCTCGGCAGGGAATGAGAATAGGAACGACCCCCGATTTTTTTCCCTCCCCGCTTCGGCTTCCTTTTTCTTCGGCACTCCCAGAACAGTTCATGCCACTTCTCATTCCCTATCGCAAGAAAAACAGGCACTACATGGGTATGGGTCAAAATTAAACCATCAGGATATGGACCGCAGGTTTGAGTCCTTGTTTCCATTTACCGATCGGGCAAGGCATTTCGTGGTTACCCAATTTTTGACCCGCAGCCACATCGGATCGAGGCGCGGCCGCTAGCTGCAACACAGAGGAAGATCTCTTTCCCATGGCTCCAGCTCAAAACTTCGACCCAGCGCTGTGAAAACTTTGCTGCGGAACAAGTCGCGTCTCCACTCGAGGCCCCCGATCGTTCCGTAACCCAGGCAACATGGGGGCTACAGTGGGGTAACTGGAAGCTCCCTGATTCATCACTTAGCTCCACTGAGCAATTGCACATGGACTCTACGGCAATATATCTTGGCCATGAAACGGTTCCCAGGACCGAACCTCAAGCACGCCACACTCTGAAACAAACCCATTTTGGTCCATGTGGATGTGTCTGTTATTGAGGGTACCTCTTTTGGAGTGAGTTTAAAGGGAAACCGCAAGGGAAACCCACCCATGTTGGGGTCACCTTTAACAAAAGCACACACGCACACACACACACACAGACACACAGACACACAGACACACAGACACACAAACACACAGACACACACATGTTCATCTTTCCCAAAAGCTGCGTTCACGGGGCCTATCGAAAAGGTCTATGCCAGGATAAGCCCAGCATAGGCGGGTGTCCTTTTTTGAGGGTCCCGCGTTTTGGGGGGAGTTGTAAAGGACACCTCGGGGGGAACAACACCTGCAATATATATGTATATATATATATATAAAGGGTCCGTATAATAAATATGGGCGTGACTCAAAATAGAGGGACCCCAAATCGTGGTTCTCCTCTTTGG